ATATGATCTCAACATCCATCTATCATAAAATGCTCAAGTAATATATAACCTCAACATCCATCTATCATGACATGTCAAGTAATATATGATCTCACCATCCATCTATCATGACATGTCAAGTAATATATGATCTCACCATCCGTCTTTCATAGCATGCCAAGTAATATATGATCTCACCATCTATCTGGTATAACATGCTAGGTAATATATGATCTCACCATCCATCTATCATTACATGTCAAGTAATATACAATCAAATCATCCATCTGTCATGACATATCAAGTAATATATGATCTCACCATCCATCTTTCATTACATGCTCAAGTAATATATGATCTCAACATCCATCTATCATGACACGTCAAGTAATATATGATCTCACCATCCATCTATCATGACATGTCAAGTAATATATGATCTCACCATCCATCTATCATGATATATCAAGTAATATATGATCTCACCATCCACCTGTCGAAACATGTCAAGTAATATATGATCTTACCATCCATCTATTATAACATGCTCAAGTAATATATGATCTCACCATCAATCTATCATAACATGCTCAAGTAATTTATGATCTCACCATCTATCTGGTATAACATGTTAGGTAATATATGATCTCAACATCCATCTATCATGACATGTCAAGTAATATATGATCTCACCATCCATCTATCATGACATGTCTAGTAATATATGATCTCACCATCCATCTATTATGACATGTCAAGTAATATATGATCTTACCATCCATTTTTTTATGACATGCTCAAGTAATATATGATCTCACCATCCATCTATCATGACATGTCAAGTTATATATGATCTCACCATCCATCTATCTGGACATGTCAAGTAATATATTATCTCACCATTCATCTATCATAATATGCTCAAGTAATATATGATCTGATCATCCATCTACCATAACATGTCATGTGTATATGATCTCACCATCCTTCTTCCATAACATGCCAAGTGATATATGATCTCACCATCCATCTATCATGACATGTCAAGTAATATATGATCTCACCATCCATCTATCATGACATGTCAAGTAATATATGATCTCACCATCCATCTACCATAACATGTCAAGTAATATATGATCTCAACATCCATCTATCATAACATGCTCAAGTAATATATAACCTCAACATCCATCTATCATGACATGTCAAGTAATATATGATCTCACCATCCATCTATCATGACATGTCAAGTAATATATGATCTCACCATCAATCTATCATGACATGTCAAGTAATATATGATCTCACCATCCATCTATCATGACATGTCAAGTAATATATGATCTCACCATCCATCTTTCATAACATGCCAAGTAATATATGATCTCACCATCTATCTGGTATAACATGCTAGGAAATATATGATCTCACCATCCATCTATCATGACATGCTCAAGTAATATATGATCTCACCATCCATCTATCATGAAATATCTAGTAATATATGATCTCACCATCCATCTATCATGACATGTCAAGTAATATATGATCTCACCATCCATCTATCATGACATGTCAAGTAATATATGATCTCACCATCCATCTTTCATAACATGCCAAGTAATATATGATCTCACCATCCATCTATCATAACATGTCAAGTAATATATGATCTCACCATCCATCTATCATGTCATGTCAAGTAATATATGATCTCACCATCCATCTATCATGACATGTCAAGTAATATATATTCTCACCATCCATCTTCCATAACATGCCAAGTAATATATAATCTCACCATCCATCTATCATTACATACCAAGTAATATATGATCCCACCATCCATCTTCCATAACATGCCAAGTAATATATAATCTCACCATCCATCTATCATGACATGCCAAGTAATATCTTGTTGCTCTCAGTGTGGGCACGGGTGTTATCATGCTGAAACCTGTGGTTGTGGCGACATGCCAAATGAGGTATGGCGTGTGGTCTCAAGACTTGATCAATGTACCCAGCTGCTGTGACACCATTGCCTCTCCCTGGATCAATGTTCTGGAAGACCACAGGGCCGACCCTCTGTGCAAGACCAATTCCACCCCACACCATGATGCTCGTATCACCCCACGAGTCTCTCTCAACAACACAAGCATCTGAATAACATTCCCCACGGTGTCGCCAGGCTCTCTCTCTGCCATCTGCTGTTGAGATACAGTTACGGCTCTCGTCTGAGAAGAGGACTCTTCCACTGCTGGTGGCGCCAATGCTGATGCTGTGTTGCCAATTGAAGATGGTCCCGGCGATGACGTGGTGTCAGAATAGGTCCTCAGTGTGGCCTGTGACAGTGGTGGTGTTTGCTCGTCAATCGTCAACGTATGGTGTCCGCACTAATGTGTCGCTGGTGTGTCCCCATGGTCTGTCAAGCAGTTTCTGCAGCAGTAGCGAAGCGATCTTGAAGATGCTGTCGCACCTTCTGACGATCCTGGTGGTGACCCTTGGTCTTCCACTACGTGGTCTGTCATCTGTAGTGTTGGTGGTCTGGTACCGTTGCTGGAGCCTGTATATGGTCCTTTACGTGGACTTGAAATGCATTCGCTACTTGCCGGTCAGTTTGTCCAGCTTGCAATCGTCCAAGGGCTTGGTGAGGCTGATTTCTTGTCAATCTTGGCATGTGGTAGCAATTCAATAACGAATGAATGTTATCCGATCTGGGTGGATTTTTATAGGACAAGAAATGGGGGATGCATGTGCATTTCAAATTGCACAGAACTCACGTGCATCGGGTTACCATGGCCGTTGCCGTGATGCGTTTGGGCGATCGGTTTTATTGTCATCTGCTTTGTTTTTTTAATCATCAAATTTCATTTTCCCGGACAAGGTAATGTTAAATTTGAGAAACTTTGACAAAAATGACCCAGATATTTAAATGACAACTTTTCATGCAATGTTACTTGGGGTGACGTTTCTTTTGCGGTTCAGTATAGTATAGCCTCATGCTTGGCTGTACAATGCCGATAATATAAACTGAATTCCTGAATATGGAAGTACATGTACATGAATCCCCAAACCCAACAATGGGTGTGAAGGAAAATGAGGAAGAAATTGCCAACATTGCCAAAAACACACACACAAAACTGCAATATTGAGAACAGACCCGTTTACAGTAAGGTTCATAAGGTAGACTCTGACAATGACCTCAACTTGTTAGTCTGGGATATTTCCAAATACTTCAAGTATGTGTCACTGTTCCAAACCCCTAAAGATTAAACAATCTCACCTTCAAAAGCCAAGCCCCTTCACATAACGACAAATCGGAAACACACATAACCCCACGAGGAGTAAACTGACCAGAAGAAATTGCAAGGTCAGAGCAGGCGGAAAAGGTTGTTAATGAAGAAGCCTATATGCCTACATGAGTTAGGGGGGCGATCAGTTAGCCTTGTGGCTAAAGCATTCGCTCGTCACGCTGAAGACCCGGGTTTGAATTCTGACATGGGTACAATGTGTGAAGCCCATTTCTGGTGTGGCCTGCCGTGATATTGCTGGAATATTGCTAAAAGTGACATAAAAACCATACTCACTCACTCACAGTTAGCTTAGCCAGACTGGTTCTTAGAGTAAACAGAAGCTGAGGTTAACTCAGGGTGGCTGGAGTTTCTGCATTTCCGAGTTCACAATTTATTCCCTGGAAGACGCATGAAATGATCCAGTCATCTTTAATTATGTCGTTGTAGCCATTATCGTTTTGTAGATTTGATATTGGGACCAAGTATCCCCTTACTGATTTGTAATTCTTGAATCCTTTTACTTTGACCAGATATTCAAGGTAGAGAGCAATAGAGTCTGTAGGGACTGGAAGTGGCTGAATATGTCGGCTCTAACAAAATGAGAAGTACGATTTCAGTTGACAGCTGTATGTTGTCTGTGTTATGTTGTCTGTTATTCTTGAGTCTCTGGACTGTTGCATGTTGGGTACTGTGTAGACTGGATTCCACCCACTGGAAGAGATGAACTGGGCAACAATTCAAACCTTCTAAATTGTACATGGGATAAGCTAGGTAATACTCTCAAACAAGGACAAGCGGCCTGGGTCATCTCAGCGAGAGACTGTATATGCAATCTTATTCAGCTCTCCCTTTAAATGCACTGCCACAATGTCAATATTATGCAACGCCTTAATCCCGAATAAATCTCTGATATGTCTCATTGCTTCTGAACTAAGAACAGTGCCCTTGTTGATAGCTCTGCAGGTTATATTATCAATATGCACTACAGGTTTCTTGTTCTGAGAAGTGAGTCTCTATCGAGCGGTTGCCCATACCACAGCCACAATTTCTTAACATTTATATGTTCCTTAGAAATCTGTGGTATATCTGTATGCCAGTTCCAGTAAGCAAAAGCTCCTTCAGCATAAGCACCAGCTCCCATATAACAGGCATCCATGACGAGATACTTGAATGGAACCACTGGCACCATTCTGTCACATTGAAGGCATATGGTGTATGAAGGCGCATGACCTGTGCCGCCCAACTTAACTTGCCGATGATAGATTCACGTTGATGCCTGCTTGCTCTGGACTTGCCCTTAAACTCTGCAGAAGATCAATGAATTGTGCACACTTCACTGCCAAAGGACAATTTCATCCAAAGTGAAAGGCCTGGCGGACCTCGCATCCTTTCCTTTGTTTGTGTTGTTACTCTACGAAAGGTATTCTGACGTTGACGCCCCTGACTGTCTTTGGTAGAGCTCTTGATTGCCCTAGTGAGAATATTTCACACTGGTTTCATATTTTCAAATCAACTGATGCTCCAATTAGAATTGGTTTGGCCACTATTCTTAAGCTACCATAATCCCACTCGACTGAAACACCACCAAGCTGAGGTTTTTTGCTTCCTAATGTTAGTTTTCCATTTTCAAGAAAACCATCAAGATTTTGAGAAACTATTCATCCAAATATTGGCAACAATCTGTCGCCCTTTACCTTGGAAATTATGGTCATCACTTTGTTGTACCTGTCCCAGAACGGAGACCACCTGATTATGTGAATTAGACCGTATTTCCTGAAGGTCACCTTGAATGTTTGGTATCTCTGCTTTGATAGATTCTTCTTTTCCAACGCCAGGAATTCATCCTCAAGCAACCTCAGGTCTTTCTGGAAAACACTACTATGACTAGCTGGCGTTGTCATCAAGCTGTCTTGTAACGGGGAGGGCTCGTCAAGTGCCGGGTTGCTGGTGCTGCCTTGCAGTTCCCGTTTGTGGGGTGTCAGACTTTCCATGGCTTTAAACATCCTTCTATCTGTTCCTTCATTTTTCCTTGTTCCTTCAATTACCTAATAGAGGTGTATTTTGCTTAACTTTATATGCAATATAGCTGAGCTAGCGCACCCTCAAATACATGCCATGCCAGGAAGGGAGGTAACTCAATACACACAAGGGAGATAACTCCAAACTCTTCAGCTGCATTTCGTACCACTAAATAAAACTTAATTTAACCATAACATATAAGGGTGCAATCCCTGTATCACGACATGCTCAGATAATATGACTTATCCATTCCTCTATCACAACATGCTCAGGTAATATGACTCAACCATTCCCCTATCATGACATGCTCAGGTAATATGTTTCAACCATTCCTCTATCATGACATGCTCAGGTAATATGACTCAACCATTCCTCTATCAGGACATGCTGGGATGATATGACTGAACCATTCCTTTATCACGACATGCTCAGATAATATGACTCAACCATTCCTCTATCATGACATGCTCAGATAATATGACTCAACCATTCCTCTATCATGACATGCTAGGATAATATGACCTAACCATTCCTTTATCATGACATGCTCAGGTAATATGACTCAACCATTCCTCTATCATGACATGCTCAGGTAGTATGACTCAACCATTCCTCTATCATGACATGCTCAGATAATATGACAATCATTCATTATCATGACATGCTCAGGTAATATGACTCAACCATTCCTCTATCATGACATGCTCAGGTAGTATGACTCAACCATTCCTTTATCATGACATGCTCAGATGATATGACTCAACCATTCCTTTATCATGACATGGTCAGGTAATATGACTCAACCATTCCTCTATCATGACATGCTCAGGTAATATGACTCATCCATTCCTTTATCATGACATGCTCAGATAATATGACTCAACCATTCCTCTATCAAGACATGCTCAGATAACATGACTCAACCATTCCTTTATCATGACATGCTCAGATAATATGACTCAACCATTCCTCTATCATGACATGCTCAGGTAATATGACAAAAATTCATTTTTCATGACATGCTCAGGTAATATGACTCAACCATTCCTCTATCATGACATGCTCAGGTAATATGACTCAACCATTCCTTTATCATGACATGCTCAGATAATATGACTCAACCATTCCTCTATCATGACATGCTCAGGTAATATGACTCAACCATTCTTCTATCACGACATGCTCAGGTAATATGACTCAACCATTCCTTTATCACGACATGCTCAGATAATATGACTCAACCATTCCTTTATCAAGACATGCTCAGGTAATATGACTCAACCATTCCTTTATCATGACATGCTCAGATAATGACTCAACCATTCCTCTATCATGACATGCTCAGGTAATATGACTCAACCATTCCTTTATCAAGACATGCTCAGGTAATATGACTCAACCATTCCTCTATCAAGACATGCTCAGATAATATGACTCAACCATTCCTCTATCATGACATGCTCAGGTAATATGACTCAACCATTCCTTTATCATGACATGCTCAGGTAATATGACTCAACCATTCCTCTATCATGACATGCTCAGGTAATATGACCTAACCATTCCTCTATCAAGACAGGCTCAAGTAATATGACTCAACCATTCCTTTATCATGATATGCTCAGATAATATGACTCGACCATTCCTCTATCACGACATGCTCAGGTAATATGACTCAACCATTCTTCTATAATGACTGGCTCAGGTAATATGACTCAACCATTCCTTTATCATGACATGCTCAGGTAATATGACTCAATCATTCCTCTATCAAGACATGCTCAAGTAATATGACTCAATCATTCCTCTAACAGGACATGCTCAAGTAATATGACTCAACCATTCCTCTATCATGACATGCTCAGGTAATATGACTCAACCATTCTTCTATCATGACATGCTCAGGTAATATGACTCAACCATTCCTTTATCATGACATGCTCAGGTAATATGACTCAACCATTCCTTTATCATGACATGCTCAGATAATATGACTCAACCATTCCTCTATCATGACATGATCAGGTAATATGACAATAATTCATTGATCATGACATGCTCAGGTAATATGACTCAACCATTCCTCTATCATGACATGCTCAGGTAATATGACTCAACCATTCCTTTATCATGACATGCTCAGATAATATGACTCAACCATTCCTCTATCATGACATGCTCAGATAATATGACTCAACCATTCTTCTATCACGACATGCTCAGGTAATATGACTCAAACATTCCTTTATCACAACATGCTCAGATAATATGACTCAACCATTCCTTTATCAAGACATGCTCAGGTAATATGACTCAACCATTCCTTTATCATGACATGCTCAGATGATATGACTCAACCATTCCTCTATCAAGACAGGCTCAAGTAATATGACTCAACCATTCCTTTATCATGACATGCTCAGATAATATGACTCGACCATTCCTCTATCATGACATGCTCAGGTAATATGACAATCATTCCTTCATCATGACATGCTCAGATAATATGACTCAACCATTCCTCTATCATGACATGCTCAGGTAATATGACAATCATTCCTTTATCATGACATGCTCAGATAATATGACTCAACCATTCCTCTATCACAACATGCTCAGATAATATGACTCAACCATTCCTCTATCATGACATGCTCAGGTAATATGACTCAACCATTCTTCTATCATGACATGCTCAGGTAATATGACCTAACCATTCCTCTATCAAGACAGGCTCAAGTAATATGACTCAACCATTCTTTTATCATGACATGCTCAGATAATATGACTCAACCATTCTTCTATAATGACATGCTCAGGTAATATGACTCAACCATTCCTTTATCATGACATGCTCAGATAATATGACTCAACCATTCCTTTATCATGATATGCTCAGATAATATGACTCAACCATTCCTCTATCACGACATGCTCAGGTAATATGACTCAACCATTCTTCTATAATGACATGCTCAGATAATATGACTCAACCATTCCTCTATCATGACATGCTCAGGTAATATGACTCAATCATTCCTCTATCAAGACATGCTCAGATAATATGACTCAATCATTCCTCTAACAGGACATGCTCAAGTAATATGACTCAACCATTCCTCTATCATGACATGCTCAGGTAATATGACTCAACCATTCCTCTATCATGACATGCTCAGGTAATATGACTCAACCATTCTTCTATCACGACATGCTCAGGTAATATGACTCAACCATTCCTTTATCACGACATGCTCAGATAATATGACTCAACCATTCCTTTATCAAGACATGCTCAGGTAATATGACTCAACCATTCCTTTATCATGACATGCTCAGATAATGACTCTACCATTCCTCTATCAAGACATGCTCAGGTAATATGACTCAAACATTCCTTTATCAAGACATGCTCAGATAATATGACTCAACCATTCAACTATCATGACATGCTCAGGTAATATGACAATCATTCCTTTATCATGACATGCTCAGATAATATGACTCAACCATTCCTCTATCATGACATGCTCAGATAATATGACTCAACCATTCCTCTATCATGACATGCTCAGGTAATATGACTCAACCATTCTTCTATCATGACATGCTCAGGTAATATGACTCAACCATTCCTTTATCACGACATGCTCAGATAATATGACTCAACCATTCCTTTATCAAGACATTCTCAGGTAATATGACTCAACCATTCCTTTATCATGACATGCTCAGATAATATGACTCAACCATTCCTTTATCATGACATGCTCAGGTAATATGACTCAACCATTCCTTTATCATGACATGCTCAGATAATGTGACTCAACCATTCCTCTATCATGACATGCTCAAGTAATATGACTCAACCATTCCTTTATCATGACATGCTCAGATAATATGACTCAACCATTCCTCTATCATGACATGCTCAGATGATATGACTCGACCATTCCTTTATCATGACATGCTCAGATAATATGACTCAACCATTCCTCTATCAAGACTTGCTCAGGTAATATGACTCAACCATTCCTCTATCATGACATGCTCAAGTTATATGTGATCTTAAATTTTATTATGAAGGGTAATACATTAAAATTAATTGAAACAACCTTCCAACATGAAGCTTTATTATCAGGCGAAAGATAAGGCCTTACCTCGAAATGAAGAGAAACATTCCTCTGACATAAAACTTTATTATCAAGAAAAAGATAAGGTTTATACTTGGAGAACTAACCCACCAACTGTTAGAAAATATGGTCATAGAATATGTGAAAAAAGAACACTATTAAGATTTTCTTCTTATCACTTTGAGCACTGTGCTAAGTATAGCGGACACTGTCAAGTGCTAAGTATAGTGGACACTGTCAAGTGCTAAGTATAGTGGACACTGTCAAGTGCTAAGTATAGTAGACACTGTCAAGTGCTAAGTATAGTGGACACTGTCAAGTGCTAAGTATAGCGGACACTGTCAAGTGCTAAGTAAAGTAGACACTGTCAAGTGCTAAGTATAGTAGACACTGTCAAGTGCTAAGTATAGCGGACACTGTCAAGTGCTAAGTATAGCGGACACTGTCAAGGGCTAAGTATAGTAGACACTGTCAAGTGCTAAGTATAGCAGACACTGTCAAGTGCTAAGTATAGCGGACACTGTCAAGTGCTAAGTATAGTAGACACTGTCAAGTACTAAGTATAGCGGACACTGTCAAGTGCTAAGTATAGTAGACACTGTCAAGTGCTAAGTATAGTAGACACTGTCAAGTGCTAAGTATAGTAGACACTGTCAAGTGCTAAGTATAGCGGACACTGTCAAGTGCTAAGTATAGAAGACACTGTCAAGTGCTAAGTATAGCGGACACTGTCAAGTGCTAAGTATAGTAGACACTGTCAAGTATAGCAGACACTGTCAAGTGCTAAGTATAGTAGACACTGTCAAGTGCTAAGTATTGTAGACACTGTCAAGTGCTAAGTATAGCGGACA